TTTTTTTTTTTTTTTTTTTTTACTATGAGTGATTTCTTAACACTGAGAGTGGTCAAACAAATTTGGCCCTCACAGACATGCAGCTTGCTGTCTTATCTAAAAACAGCAATTCATTATTAAGAAGAGAAATCCCTCTTCTGCATACTTCACCCTCCCTTCAGGAGTGCTCACACTGATCATCTGTAGTGACATGAAAGCTTTTATCTTCAATTTTTGCCTCCTCTAAATGAAACAGTCTCCCCCAAAAGCCACTTCATTGATTCACAGGCTTATATCTCTGCATACACTTTGCCATTGTGTTGCTTTGAGAACCTGGTGTTAATTACTATGATTTACTGATGATTAGAGAGCTGTACAGAGATTTTGTCATTACATTACCACTCACTGCCAGAGCCCGACCGTGGTTTCCAGGGAAACAGGAAAATGTGAAGCTTTTCAATAGACACAGCCACAGCTTTAAAGAGCGAGGATTGCCTAAGATAGATTCTTCTAGAGACAAACCTGTAGCCGCTGCAATCACTATCAATCAACAGGGGAGACATTCGGACAGATGTAGGTCTCGATCGACGGTGAGATTTTTGCGGTGCTTGACCCAAATGTGAGAGAGAGAGTTATGGAAAGACTTCAGTCTGACTTGGACTGCTGAGGTATGTCTGTTACTCGTGCTTTCCTGCAATTTGTTTCATCCTGTTTGTTTTCATAGTTAAAAGATTTGACAAGTTCTTTAGATTCCTGTGCATGGCTTTGCTTTTATGAGATTATGGAACAAACAGAACTTGATTATGAGCTATGTGAGCACATTTGTAGGGTAGAAAGATGCAATCTGATGTCTAATCTAACAGTGAAATGTTGGATAAAAGAATCCAACATAAAAAATAACATGTAAAATGCATGTGTTTAATAATAGTATATATCCCAGATGACAGTGTTTTACGATACAAAATAAGCATGAGAATAATTTCCATCATATGTATGATGTAACTTGGTTACATGTCAGTGTTTGCATACTTGACATCGACATCGTATGATAGAATATTTTTATCACAAAAACCTTTGTTTTATCCTCTGCACATGCTGGAGCTTCTTATAGTTAGTGATTACAATTTGCACAGTGTGTCAGTGCTGTGTTGTGCCCTGCAGGTACTTCCACCACTTAAATGCAAAGACAAAATGGGAAGTCTGAAAGACGAGATGAGAGGTCTCAGAGAGGACCACAAGCCTTGTGAGAAGACGGATGATGGAGAGCGTCCAGGCGGCTCAGATGGCAGCGCTGAGCCCGAGGGACCTCAGATAAACACGAGTCAAGAGTCAACAACACAAGGGGACTATCAGCCAAAACATCACACGAATGCCAGCTACGTTGAAGAGGGAGACGAGAATGCAAAATCTAAAGATCAAGTGCTTTCAGGAGGCGGTTGTGTAAAAGACTCTACACAGACTGACGCAATTTCTCTGACACAACAGCCTGAAGATGATGAAACAACAGCAGCCACACACAACGACGCGACACTCTCTAATGAGCTCCTGAGTGGTGGGGATGGAGATGGTGAAATTCAGGAGGAGACGTCTCAGGATAAAACCACAGAAAAAGACGCAGACATTGAAAATATATATGTGCCTGTGCCAGCAACCCCAGGCCCCTCAGACCCACGAACCCCAGCTCCTGCCGGCCAGCAACACATGCACACACAGGTCAGCCTGGAGGTGGTCCAGTGTCACTCGGCGGCCACCAGCCCCATGACGCCCCCTGAGGGTGGCAATTCCTTCTTCTTCCCAAGCTCTTTTGGGAAGTCTGGAGCTGTGGGCGCTGACACTAAAGATGCTGAGCTACAGGTGGGTCAGCAGGTGGAGTTCTGCTCTGTGGCCACATCCCCCATGACCCCAAAGACGCCCTCGACCACGGCTTTCCCAGTGCTCATCGGGAGGGAGACGGTGCAGAAGGAGGAGAAAGTGAAAAAGAGTGAGGAGCATGGGGAGAGTGGCCAACAGGAGAGTTCCCCCGCAACACAAAGTCTGGAAGAGTCAGAGAAAGCTGGAGCTTTGAAATTTGCCACATCAAAGGAGCCGAGCGAGGGCCTCAGTTCGAATACATCTCCAGAGAGCTCCACCAGCTGCCCTGCTGCCGGGTTAATAGTTTCTCAAGTAACTCTGGAGGATAGTAATCAGCTGAGTAAGCAGCAGAGGATGGGCAGTATGGATCAAGACATTACAATCCTGGTGACCCACTATAGCAACAATGATGAGGAAGAGGAAGAGAAGGCTGAGTCATCTCTTTTTACCATCGAGCCAGAGATGGTCAAAATAGATGAATATGAGGAACCCGGAGAGAAAGACAATGATGTAAAGAAGGAGGATGGAAAGGAAAATGTCTTCACAGAACCTGCTGCCCCTGATGTACAGGACACCTCAAACACAAACCTGCCACAAAATGAAACCGTAGAATCCTCTGTGTCCACATGTGATGAACCAAAAACAGACGTTAAGTCTGCAAATTCAGAAGAGAAAGAAAATGAAGGTGCACGTGAGTTGAGAGACGTGACAAAGCCTCCTGTCCCTGAATCTCCAGCTCCCTTCGGCTGCCACAACATCCGCACCCAGGTGAGCCTGGAGGTGGTGCAGTGTCAGTCTGCGGCTACCAGCCCCATGACCCCTCCTGAGGGGGACCACGCCTTCTACTTCCCCAGCTCTTTGGGGAGATGCGAAGGTGTAGGCACAGAGACTAAAGATGCTGAGCTGCAGGTGGGTCAGCAGGTGGAGTTTCGCTCTGTCGCCACAGCACCTATGACCCCAAGAACACCCACCGTCACGACTTTTCCTGACATCAAGAACGATGCAAGCATAGAGGAGAAGATAGTGGAGGAGGAGGAGGAGGAGGAAGAGGGTACAAAGGAGCAGGTGGTGGAGGACAAAGAGGAGGAGAAAGAAACCGAAGAGAAAAAGGTGGAAGCAGCTGAAGAGGACACAAAGGAGGCAGTAAATTGCAAGGAGAAATGTGAGGAGCCGGTGCAGGAGGTCATCTGGGATGAAAAGGGAATGACGTGGGAGGTGTACGGGGCAGTGGTGGAGGTGGCTGTGCTGGGCTCAGCCATCCAGAAACACCTGGAGAAACAGGTGAAGAAGCAGAAGCAGCCCTCCATGCCTCCACCTCCGCCGCTCAACCCCTCAGCCAAGCCCCTCTCATCAGAGTCCATCCAGGGGGGTTCGGGCTCTGGTTCAGGCTCGGGTAAGGGCCGGGCGGGAAAGAGGGGAGACCGGGATGGGGAGGTGAGCCGACGCAGAAGAAACCCCTTCCGTCAGCTGATGGAGAACATGCAGCAGCCACATTGTTGCTCCAAAGCTCACACCGCAGAGTGACACAAGAGTCCTGTTGAGAAAACAACAGCTGATTGGAGGAAGAAAAAAACCCGTGGTGTAAGAAATCACAGGATATACGTGTCTGTGATACACTGATTTACTTCAACGTGACATTGTCGTGAAAGTGTGAGAAGAAAATCAGCTCCTCACATGGGACAGGAAAAGCACAAAAGCATTTAACTTTCTATCACAGAGCATCGAGAACCAGCCATACTAGACGGAGTTTCCTTTTTTTGCTTCTTTTTCTTGGACTTCCATATTTCCATATTTGGAAAATGAGGGTGATATATCAATGCCATCTTTAGCTCTTCTCCTTTAATGTTTTTCACTCAGACCATTCAGTTGTCCGCTGAGTCATGTCGCTGTTGATACTTTTTTCTAATGCACCTCAGAAAATACGAAGCCATGCCAGCCCTTCTCCTGGTCGCTTACAGGCTTCAGTGGAGAGACACGATGATAGTAGAGTGACTCACAGTTTTTGATTGTGATTTATGGCCTCATGGTCAGTCACTACAACCTGAGGTTCATTTTGTTTCCAGAGTACGGAAGTTAGAGTTGATCGTAATGGTGAATTGATCTGTGTGAGAGGAGTTCCTACCACTAGTGCAGGCTTTTGTACGTCTTATACTCTGCTTTTAGATTTGCCACATTTTGACTTGTTTGTATTGTGAAAAGTATAAAAATGTACAGATGACGAGGACAATCGACACCTGATATGAGGGTATTTTTAATCATTACTACTTAGTGTATTTTAATGCCATGATTAGTGATTCAGTTGTAAATTACGTGATGAAGCTTATTTTAAGTGTGTTTTAATTCAGAGGCTGTTACAGTGTCAGTGATGTTGGTGTTCATACGTTAACTTCACGAAAGTGCAATCGAATCCACATTTGGAGAAAGTGATTTTATTCACAGATTGCACTTGTGATACATTCATTTAGATGTCAGTAAAGTGTGAAATAATCCTTGCATTCCGCTGCTTGTAGGAAGTCGCTAAGTCACACTGCATGGGGTTTTATTTCAGCAACAAGTATCTCAAACCCAAAGCAAACACTGACAAATTAAACACTCACAAAGTTAAGCCTTTTGGCGGACATGCTGTCATAAATAAGCAATTCATTCATACACCGACATTATGCAATATTTTCCACTTTTTTTGTTTTTGGATTTTCTTTCTAGTAGCATCAGCTGCAAGAAAAATTAACATTGTGTGTTGACATAACGTATAATACAATTTATTTCAAAGCAAACCAAACAGTTTTTAAACCGTCGCTTAATATGTTAACAAAAATAAAGTGATTCTCTTGTGCAACAAATGTTTTTGTTTGCTTTCCCTTTGCTTCTGTCCAATCTTTTATTGTCTAGATCAGTGGTTCCCAGCTGTGGGTCTTGGTCCAAAAGTCGGTCATGAGTCTGTTCTGAATGGACCGCAAGTGACCTGGGAACATGTGTTTGTAAAAAAACACACTTTATTTTGAAGTAAAGAAATTTCTGGCACAGAGCTTTTATTTTGAAATGCTGTTTCCTGCTGTGGAATGAGTGAATGACAAACAGCTACTTAACAGAGGCAGCAAACTAGTTCGACAACATGACGCTGAACATTTTAAAATGGGTGGACCTTGAACTAATAACTGAGGAGAAATCTGGACCCTGTTGATGGACCAGTTGGGAACCATTGGTCTAGATAAGACTTGTTTTAAGACATTTTAAAAGGAAGAGTTTGACGTTGGGGAAATATGCTTATGTCTTTGCACTAAATGTGAAGCTACAGCCAGCAGGCAGTTACCTTACTTATGTACTTAGACTTAACACAGGAAAAGAATGCTTCACCCCCAAAACCATCACTTGTGTATCAGTCACTCACCTCGTGTTACATAGAATTCATGTTGAAAACGTTTTACTTGTGACGTGAACATGATGAACAAAGAATCCAAAAACAGAATTAAGTTAATGGGGGCCACCTTTAACAACAGATGTCAAAACATCCATTTACAAACTCTCACACAACTCGTGCAGTATAACCCAAGTCTGATAAATCCAGTCATATGCTTAGCACTTCCCGAATAGACGGCTCTTTCGGACAAGGAACTGAACTTAGAAGTGAACACTGTCACACAATAACACAAACTAACTAATTGATTGAGGCATCGAAAGACCAGCAGCTCCCATGTTCAGCGAGGAAAATTACTGCATTTGTCCACAGAGTCTGATAAATTTCACTTTTAGTTTAATTCTCTGCCTGAAAGGGCCATCTGTTTGGGAAGCACTGAGCAAACGTCTGGATAAATGAACTTGGATTATACTGTATACTTGTATGGCAGTTTCTAAATGGATGTTTTGATATAGTTTTGATGTTGTTAAACATGGACCCCTATGCTTCAATTCATCATGAATTTTCTGTTTTTGGATTTTTCGTTCACCGTGGAGGCATGCGAGAAGAACAAAGCTTTCCTCAGGAATTCAGTGTGACACAGGGTGAGCAACTGATATACAAAAAATAATCATTTTGGGAGTGAAGTGCTCCTTTAAGCTTTGAACAAAGTCAGGCTAGATGTTTTTCTTTGTTTTTTTTTTGCTTCCAGTCTTAAAGCTACGCTAAGGTAAATGTCTCCTGGCTGGAGCTTTATGTGTCAGTGGCATCAATCTTCTCTCCTGATAAGCATATCTTCCCAAATGTCAAACTATTACTTTGACTGTTGGACAACTAAACAGTCAATTTAATAACCAAACCCAATTCCATGAGACTGAGATACTATGTGGTACACTTATAGTGTGTGTATAGTGGAGTAACGTCTCTCATTTTGGTTTTCTGTTGTGTTTTCCCTTGAACTGAATGTTTAGACAAAGCAAATTCATCACCTTAGATTGAATCTTGTGCATGGAGTCAATGATACATTACTAATGGTCACAACAGAAGGCTATGTGAAGACACAAGGACTTCAACACCATCGAAGTGTAATTTGGTCAGCCTGATTACAGAGAAGCAACATAATGTCCATCTGAGGCCTCTGTCAGCGTCACTGTTTCCATCACAGGTCTGTAGTGCTGAATGCGGGGTTATCGTAACCCACGCGAGGATTGTCGGAGCCTTTCTTCTTGCCCCGCTGGGCAAGTGCTGCACCCAGAGGCTCGATGTACTCGGGTGGCCCACTGTCTTTCTCCTCCTCCTCCTCCTCCTCCTGGATCATCTGCTAATGAGGAGCAGAGGAGTTTTGAAACTAGATCGTATTGTAATAAGTACAACTGAACATGGAGTTTAAAATGTAAACTCACCATGGGCCTATCCTTTTCAGAAAAGGTCACATCACTGCTGTAGTCCAGGGAGTTGAGGCTGTGGTGTAAAAAGTCATCAAAGTTATCTCCATATGCACAGTTCATAATTTTATAAAGCGCGTGTGTTTGATTTAAATAAAGGTCTCATGCCAACGTCAGGAGCAGAAAGCCAGCTCCCAATCACAACATGCTGTCATGAGCACACTGTGACAAAATGTTCACATGGAAACATTCCCAGTTTATTAACCAGCACGGCTGCAGAGTGGAGAGTGAGGTCGTGTGTCACTGTGAGCCACCACCTTGTGACCGAGCAAATCACTGCTATCAACAGATGGTGGAGACCGTAGTCACGGAGAGGTTTTCTTTACCTGACTTTGTCCACATCTGAGCTCTCCTCGTCCATGTCCAGGACCATGGTCGTGTCGATGTTGAGGTTGAGGACAGGATTAGCCCTGTTAGCGGGTAATGAAATACACAGGAACACAAACACGTGTTATATTTCATGCCACTTATTCACTCATTTATCTTGTTAATGCTGCTGTCTCCTCACCCCTCCATGGTGTACTTGTTGGTTCCAGGCACCACAGGACCACTTTTCTGGTTGTCAGAAGTCACCATGGATGCAGAGTTCATGGCTTTAGCCGCCTTCAGCTTCCTCCTGTAGCTGTGGTGTGAAGTGAGTCGATTAGTAAACAGGCACAGTACCTCTCATGGATGTTGTTAGATCAGTGCTTGGCTTTACTGGGATTAACTGTGGTTATTATTTAAAGGGAATGTTTTTGCGTCTAGGAGAGTAAAGGAGACAACATTTTTTTAAATTCGTCCAGTATATGGAGAGATCGCTGACACAACAAGCTGCAGTGTAATCCCAAAATGTGCAATTTATGTCAATTAAAAGTACTTGTTTTTGCTACTGACAGGCTAAAATTTCATTATAAATGTAGAACATTACAGAAAGGACCCTAATGAGAAATCAGCTTTCGCTGGTCTGTTTGTTATTGTGAGCAAGTCCTGCTCAAGGAGAAGTCATTCTGAAATCTCACTAGAGGTGACTTGTTGAATGAAAAACGGTGGAAACTGAGAGTTGGACAGAGGAGTGCTGGCGGGAGTTGTTTGTGTTGAAGTACAGAAAGTATAGCTTGGAATTATCTAAAAGATTTTTTAATGCAATAGCTGAACATTTAGCTGATTTTGACAATTTGGAAAATTCAGCGAGATTTCAGAACGAGCTTCTCTTTGAGCAAGACTTGGTTACACTCAATAACAAATAGACCGGATCAGTCAAAGCTACAGAAAAAAACATTTAATTTCTCTGTAGGATCTGTCCCTAATGTTGTCAGACACATATAATAATAATCGGAGCCTGTCAGTGGCAAAAACAAGCACTTCTTGCTACTGACAGGTGCGCAGTTGGCCGTAGGGATCACATTGCAGCCTGTTTCGCTGCTGCAGCTGGAGCAGTAGACTGAATCAATGTGATGTCACGCTAACCACAACAATCACTTCCAGGTAGAGATGTGTAAAATTTGCAAACTTGTTGATTTTTATTGTCATTTTTAGCCTTGACTAAATGTTTAAAAGTATCCAGTTAAACACGGTGATCCGACTTGCTGTGGACGGGGCCAGAGCAGAGAGGAATTTAGCCACCTAGAAAAATCAATATTGGTTTAAATATATGCTATATTTGAATATTTGCCCTTTACCCTTTACCCTTTACCCTACACACTAACTGATCAAGCTCTTGGCAGACCAGCAACTCCTGTGTTCTACAAAGTAAAATTACTGTTGTTGTCAGTAGAGTCTGTTGGCTTTGATGTAACGGCTTCAAGTCACGGCCCACCCCATGCACAACGGCTCTGTCCTTGCCGCAGTGGCCACAGGTTCAGCTCCAACCCATGGCCCTTTGCTGCATGTCATCCCCTCTCCCTCTTCCCCTTTCAGGTTAAATAACTGTCCTATAGATTAAAGGCAAAAAATCCCTTGAAAAATATCTTAAAAAATTGTTCTCTCTAATTGTCACTTTGACTACAGAATATTCCTTTTTTTTACTTTCTGCGAGTGCACATCAATGAAGTGGTGAGAACAGCCAGCACGATGACGAGGCCCGCCACTATCCCCAGCAGAACGTACTGCACAGGGTTTGTTTCTTCTACTACCGCCGATGTCTTCCCCTGAAACACAAGTTAAGAAATCTATCTTCAGAATATTGTTGTATCTGTGCACCTATTAGGGCTTCATTTACACTTTGTTGTAAGATCCAACAATATAGTTCTGACACATTCATTTATGAATTAAAATCAATGGCTACAGCGGCTAACAGTTTGTCACAGAGTCAACTTTGAAATTCTGTTGCTGGTCCATTAATCATCGATGAGTTTGGTCCAAGATACTTTTAGATCTCCAGACCTCGTACAAACCTCGCAGACCTGTCAGGTCAGGTGGCTCTGGATTATTGGCTGTTTCTGAAGTCGAAACTAGACATGGTGAAGCTGCTTTTAGCTTCTGTGCTGCTCTAATGTGGAACATTTGACTTCTTTAAAATCTAAACTTAAGACCTACCTTTGTACCTTTTTATTAATTTTTAATGTTTTTAATCAAATGTGTTAGTTTTCCTTAGCATTTGTTTCTTGTGCTTTTACTTGCACTTTAGGTTGTCTTTGGGTATGAAATGTGCTATATAGATACATTTTCCCTGTCTAAAATGTTAGTAAAATAAAAGTAGTAGTTAGTAGCAGTAGTTTTATCTTAATTAGTGTATGAGCACTTTGATTATATCTCAGTTATGACTTCACTTCTTGATGTTCTTGCTGATTATTTGTGCAGCTAAACAAATCACAGAAGCAAATAAAGTACAATGATGACGCTGTTCTGTGACGATGACACTAATCTTCATCTTAGTTTTCTCTCAGAAATAATGAATGTATGACTATGAGACAAAATTTGAAGGAATTATCATAAATTTTAGCTTCCAATTAGGCTTAATCTGTTATAGTTTTATTTGTAATCATTTGCAACAATCTGTCAAAGAAACGGATTTCCTCATTGAGATCAGTGATGTCTACATGTGGAACTTTGATACAACAATTTGAAAACAAAAACTGCTGCAGTTAACAGTAATTTTGTGCTGTTTGCTATGATTTCCTTTTCAAGGACTGAATACAGTGGAACGTTGTGCAGCATCAGCAACGGGAGATTTATGGACACCTGCTCAAAAAATTCACAACTTGTGATGCTGCTTTAACTCAGTTGAAAAAGTATAACATCACAGAAAAGAGACCCTTTCAGAAAATAAAACTCTGAAACTGCTCATACTCACAATGTCCGAGAGGCCGAGCCCTATGAGCACAGAAGAGTGTTCAGGATCAGAGATGATCTTTTCCACTTCAGTCGAGCTGAGAGCAGTCCCGTTCAAGTAGACAAAATATGCCTCTACGATAGTCTGACCTGCAGCCCTGAGAGAAGAATACAACAATTACAACTACACACCTAAAATAAAGAACCTAAATTAACTATTTCAGCTGTTCTTAATCTAAAATCCCCTGGTGCAGCTGCAATTATCATTCACAATCATCAGTAAATAATTTATCCTCAGCAATGTGATTGTTTACAGGGACACTGACACCACCTAGTGGACAACAGTGCATGGAAATGAAAAGCTGAGAATTTTTTGGAGAGCCTGTCCACACCAGCCAATAGTTTATCTTTACTCGCAGACTGTAGCATTTATTTTGACATACAGTGATTTAGATTTAGAGGTAATGAGGTAACTTGCCTTACGGTTTCAGCACTGTTCACCCTGATTGCAGTAATTTCAACCTTGGCCTTGGTGGCAAATTGAAGCGCACTGGAAATGTAGATATCAGAGAAAACACCAGGTCCCCAATGAGAAACATAGATATGTGTTAACTTAAAAAATAGAAACATTCTCCACTTCACTGTCATCCAATTTAAATTTTACTAAAACACAGCAGAACCGTACTTTGTGATTTTAATTTCATTTTCTTCGACTTCGGCTTTGGAAGATCTGAATTCAAGTTCCACTTTAAATGATTCATCAACTGTGATAATCTGCAACAATAAAAACAACACAAGTATTAACACAGGCTGAGGTCTTACTGTGCATCCTGTGTTAACAACACAGACAGTATAATGCTCATAAACATAAACATGCGAGGGTCATAAGGACAGAGGGATGTCGTATGCTGTAAAGCCCTGTGGGGCAAATTGTGATTTGTGATATTGGGCTTTATAAATAAAATTGAATTGAATTGAAATTGAAACAGAAACCTAGCTGAATGATTGCAGTCACTCACCTCCAGTATGGTGCTGTTTGAGAGGTTACCGGTGTCAGTTGCATTCACTGTTACTAAATACTTCCCTTTCAGGGACCTATCAAGCCCCTCGGTAGTTCTGTGGAAAGTGGGGGAAATCATGAATGGTCATTTTTACTTCTTTTTTGTCAATTTCCATCTCATTGTAGATGGCTTCGAAGTTGTCTTTCTAGTTATTTTGTGTCTCTTTGCCATTGTGGTCTTTTTGTGTGTCTTTATTGCAGTTTTGCAACACTTGGCAGTCATTTTTATTTTGTTTTCCACTATTAATGTTTATTACTACAATTGTTTTTTTTTTTTCTTTGTAGTCATTTTGTGTCTCTTTTTTTGAACTTTGCATCTCCTATCAGGTATTTTGTGTCTCTTTGAGGTCATTTTGTGCATCTTTGTAGTTGAAGCCGCTTCATGTTATTTTGAGTCTCTTTATAGTTGTTGTGTGTCTCTGTAGTAATCTTTTGTGTCTCTTTGTGGTGGTTTTGAGCCTCTTTTTTAGTCATTTTGAGTCTCTCTGTAGTAATCTTTTTATCTCTTTTTAGTTGTTTTGCTTCTCTGTTGAGGTTTTATGTCTCTTTCTTTCAACTTTGCAACTCTTTGTAGTTGTTTTGTGCATCTTTGTAGTCACTGCATTCCTCTGTGGTCATTTTACATCTCTTAAGTTGTTTTGCAAGTCTCTGTAGTTGTTTGAGTCTTTAATAGTTGTTACATGTCTTTTGGTAGAAACTTTTGTGTCTTTTTGGGGTCATTTTTTGATTCTTTGTAGTTGTTTTGTGTCTCTTGTGGTCATTTTGTGTCTCTCTGTGGTTGTTTTGAGCCTCTTTATAGCCCTTTTGAGTCTCTTTGTAGCTGTAATGTGTCTCTTTGGAGTAATCCTTTTGTAGCCATTTTGTGTCCCTCTCACTGTTTATTTTTCTAGTTGATTTGTTTCTCTATTGATGTTTTGTGTCTCTTTTTGTAAACTTTTTACATTTTATGTATCTTTGTAGTTGTTCTGCATCTCTTTGTTGTAGTTTTACACCTCTTTGTAGTCTTTGATTCTCTTAGTAGTTGTTATGTGTCTTTTTAGTAGTTTTGAGTCTATTTGTAATTGTTTGATTTTCTTTGTAGTTTTTATGTCTCTTTGTAGTCATTTGTAGTCCTTTTGTGTCTCTCTGTTATCACCATGTCTCTATTTGTAGTTGTGTCTCTTTTTTAGGTCATGTTGTGAATCTTTAAAGTGTTTCTACATCTTTATGTGGTTATTTTGCTCCTTTTTGTAGTCGTTATGATTAGTTTTTTTTGTTGTGGTTTTGTATCTCTTTGTAGTCTTTGACTGACTTTCCAGCAAGAAATACTAACAGTCACTTTGAAGAGAGGCTCCGGTCCAGGTCAGAAAGCGAAAATGAGTGCAGCAGTAAACACCAAAGCACATATTCAGAGTAGAATGAGATATAGCAGTATAATGCTGATGAATGACTTTGTACTTACTGAATAATTCCTTTATAAACGTCACCGTCATTTGTGGTTTCAGCTTTGAACAGCAACTTCTTGTTGGTTGGGTCTTTGTTGGTTTCTTGAAATTGGACTGCTGTTACTTGGAACTTAATCTGCCTATTTAGTCCAGAGTCACGGTCTGTAGCCTGAAAGCAGCAAGAGACACAAGCATGAATGTCTGGACATCATGTCCCATGTCTCATTAACAAGCTGGAATCCTGGTAAGTTATTGGTTTTTCATTCATACTCACAGTGACTCTTGCAACTGTTGTCCCCTTACTTGTTTTTTCTGACACCACAACTACAATGCAAACAGAAAAAAACAGGAGTAAACTATCAGTAAACCATATGTTGCATATTTCACATTTGTTGTAAAGAAAAAGAGTAACTTTATTTATTTATATGACTTTTGCTGAATATTTCTTGTTAAGTGTGACAGCATGGATCTTAGTTTAAGGGGTCACTAGCCAAAAAATTCTTCTTTAGATAAAACTGATTCACTCACCGAATACCAGATCTGACAAAATGAATTCAGGAGTGTTGTCGTTGATGTCTTTAATGTCAATCTCCATTTTTGCTGAAAATATTCAGAAAAGGAAAAAAAAAGAAATTAAGTGATGTGAAAAGTGTGTTTGTAGGTCTGTGCCTGACCTATGATTCCATGCTTTTACTTGGAGATGTTACGCTTTTGTTATCTGAATAACTTCACAGTGCTGACCTGTTTTGACACTGTTGTTTTCTCCTTTCTCTGTGTATTCGTCGACCACCTGAGCTTCTATCTCCACCTCGTCACATTGTTCATAATCCACTGTGTGCTCAGGGTTGACTCTGACATCCCCCGTTGGATCCAGGATAAACCAGCTGCAAGGTGTCCAAGAGCCTTCACATCTGCATTTCATGGATACCAGCTCATAGACCAGTGAGTGGTTTCCATCTTTGTCCACTGCTGTGAAGTTGCCAACAGCCCCACTGATGGTGGTGTTCTCATCCACTTCCACAGGGCCTACTGGCAAGAACTCTGGCCTCTCATCATTCACGTCAATGATGTGGACATCCGCTGTCACCACAGCTTTATTCTGATCCATATCTGCTGCCTCTACCCGCAGTTTGTAATGCTTGTGGGCACTCTCGTAGTCCAGCTCAATGTCAGGGTCCACAGTGATGTTTCCACTGTAACCCCGCTCATCTGCAAAGGTGCGAATGATGAAGCTACCAAAGCTTCCTTCAATGATACTGAAAGAAATGCGGTTAAATTCCTTCGTTTGGTCCAAATCCACAGCATGAACACAACCCACAAAGGCACCTGATTGGATGGAAAAATATGGTTAAAATCCAGCCTCACACTTATGAACACTTGAAGGCACTTTGCAAAGTCATATACCGACCTTTATCTCCTTCTTTGACGGAAAAATTGTAAGAGGAGGCTTTGAACTGTGGTGTGTTGTCATTGATATCCTGGAATGCATCAAAAGAAAACATTAACAGTTGTCATCTTCACCAGGAGTGACAGCTTCAGAAGCAACACAGCACCAATACTTTGGTACAAACTGCTGAAGACATACCTCTATATTGATGATAACTGTGACCACGTCGCTCAATGGGGGAGTACCCTTGTCAGTAGCTGTCACATTGACCTCGATTATACCGCCCAGCTCTGGGTCCAGGGCCTCACGATCAAGCACACCTACGTTTCTTAACACATTGGTGTTAGGGTCGATGGTGAAGTTATCACTGAACCTGCTTGGTTCGATTGCATACACGATTTGGCTGTTTACTGAATCAGCATCATCTGCATCAGTAGCCTGTTCAAATGAGAAACATCAGAGAAATGATTAAGAAACTACACTTCTTACTAAATGATCAGTTATATATAAACTACTCACACCATGTTACCTTGAATTCATGAAGAAAAATAAACCAAGAGAACAAGAAAATTCTTTATGAATTGAAGTAATTGGGGCCATGTTTAACAACAGCAAAACTAGGAGGAGTTCTGCTGAGACTCACCCACTCCTGTTGCTTCCCAATCTGGGAGGCGGGATTTTAGTGGAATATATGAGTGGAAATCAAACGCATGTGCTTCCCCAGGTGCAATACTAACCCATGCTTGAGACTATTTATGCAGAAGAGTTTTAAATCACAAGGTTTTAGCCAAAATGGTTTGGGGAAGTACTGAGCATACGGCAAGATAAATGAGACATGGTTTGTACTGCTCGAGTTGTGTTTGTGAAGGAAATTTTGATATAGTTTTACTGTTGTTAAATGGGCACCCTTTTTACTTGAATTCATCAAGAATTTTCTCTGTATTTGGATTCTTCATTCACGTGTGGCATGTGAAACGTTTTCTTCATGAATTCAAGGTAGCACAGTGTTAGTAGTTAAAATACAAATGATCATTAATATTGCAAGTACACTACAGTACATTGCCAATACGTGCGATGTCATGTTGAAGCAGGAGAGGACCCTCTCAACTGTATTCACTACATTGGAAGAATGCTGTTGTCTAAAATATTGTTTTGTGCTGTAGCTTTAATCTTACACACATACAGTAAGTCTGTTCCCAGGTTCTGGGGTGTACCACTGCATTTAAAAAAAAAAAAAAAAAAAAGTTGTATACAGGCTCTTCTGGAACCCTCTGGCTCCAAAAAGAGCTGCACAAAATCTAGTACATTGACTCTAGTGATGGAACCTGAGCCAGCGTTGGCTGGGGCTGGTGACTACATTTTGAAAATGAAAAAACTATAGGATGTGGAGTTAGAATGAGGTGAGGTTACCAGACTTCTGTAGCCTGCTCCTGATCTCTGCTGCAGGCTGGAGGCTACACTAGCTGCTGAGAACATAACAACCAAATCTTCAACCAAACTGTTGGCGGTGAAGTTTGCCTGTCTTTGGTTCTTCTGTGTCAGTTTAGATCTTTGATTTTTTTTTTTTAAACCTTCCATCATGAGATTGAAAATTTTATAGTGTAAAGTGCTACAGTGGTTAAATGCTTTTTAAAGACATCTCTTAATTATAAATTTGGGGCTATAGCCTAAATATGATTAACAGCCTCAGACTAAAGAAAAAAAAAGAAGTCCACATCCTCCATTCCTAGCGTTTAACATCTTAGTTTTCATTTTCCATTAACACAAAATCTATGGGATTTAGGTTTATTTCTTCATTGATACAACACTTTAAAGGAGATATAAGTGACATGCAGTGCATACAAGTCAGATTCTGAGCCGGGATTGTCTAAACACAGCTCTCGACATGAAGATGGCTGAGCCGCTGACTAGCAGCTAACGGTGCTAGTGGCTGATAGTGCTACCAGTGCAAACAATGCTAACAACGGCAACAGTGCTAATGGTGTTAACGTGGTGGAGAACCGAAAGCTGAGCTTTACGCTTATGCAACAACGCTGTTCCATCACCATGGATGCGTTATTAGCTGTAACCGTCATATGAGTGCAGTGCAAAGCAGCCGCGATTGTTGCGGGATACACACACAGGAACTCACATGCTGACTGTCTATCACAACAAAAAACAGAGAAGCTTGGATTACAACACACACCAAAGTACTGTGACTTCGCACTTGGTCTTTACATAGCACATCTTGGTTTGCTGCTATAATAATGCTCTGAATGTCGCATACAGTACCTTTAAATGAATCAGAAATTCCTGTTGTAAATAGCATCAACACCTATGAGATGGAAATATTTACTGTTCTCTTATTTTTCAAACCCACAATTACCTCAATTGTAACTTTAAGGTCTTCACCCTCTTTAACAAACTCCCTGTAATACTCTCTGTTGATGACTGGGGGTTGGTCGTTGATGTCAGTCAAAGTGATCTCCAGCACTGTTGACCCTGGCTTGCCCTCTGTGTCTCTGGCCTGCAGAGTGGCCGAATACAGAGATCTGACCTCACGATCCACCAGACTAGCATTCTTCACGTAAACCGTGCCTGTATATTCTTCCACGTCAAAATACAGTAGGCTGAAACACAGATACAGGCAGTTCAATGGTGTTGTCTCGTTAGCATGACAGCACAAGGTGCACAGTGACAGTGGGGACATTCAAATAAGCAAATTAAGTGGTTTGGCATACATGCTGTCTGGAAGAAGTCTGTAGGTGATGTTGCCTTGATCCATTGTGTCAGGATCCTCTGCCTGGGAGACAAAAAAACAACGTGTGCCCCTATGAGTGCTATTCAGATGTGTCTTACATGTATACTCAAACTGAGTAAGAATCGAGATAGTAAAGGACTTACAGTAATGTTGGCCAATATTGTCCCAACAGGAGAGTGCTCAGGCACCGTCAACTTATATGTGTCCTGTGGAAACTTGGGGCTGTTGTCATTAGCGTCCTTGATGTTAATAGTAACTGTAGCAGTGGAGCGGAGGGTGGGTTCATCTTCATCTATGGCAATGATCTGCAGCAAAACACGAGCATAAGGAACACCTCAGACTGGTTAAGAAGAGAATCACATTGATGACCAAAAGATGAAAGATGTTACTAATCATATTCACAGACTCCTAAGCAGTTTCTGATTTTTCTTACTTGTAGAACCATTTGCTGTGTCACTTCATAATCCAGTTTTTGGGGCTGCTTGACCAGAAGCTGAACGATGCTGGTTGACATGGTGGTTGTGGGTTCTACGGAAAACACGTCCTTGTCTTCCCCCTCCAGGGTTAGTTTAGTTTTGGAAATCTGTGAAAAGCCAAAAAAGAAGATTCATACTTGATCATTGATGCACTCCTTATCCAGGAAACCTGCATCTTTTTGTCGAAGGATGTCGTCTTTTTTTTGTGATTCTTTTTCTCACCTTATCCAGATCTTTGACAGTCATGTTGAAGGAAACAGAGCTCAAGTGCTCAATGACCTCTCCTGTGAAGTGACTCTCATTTACACAGGAGTGTCCACACATGTAAAACTCCGGCGGGTTGTCATTGACGTCGATGATGCTGATCTGTACATCTGCTGTGGTGCTGGCATGGATCCCGTGGATGTTTTTATTAACCTCAGTAGCCTGAAATAGAACAAAATATCACAATTCCACAGTTACAGCATTACCAAAATAAAAGTTCTTAATCAAATAAGATCTCACGACTCAAAACATTTATTTTTGGTTATAATATAGAGCATTCCAGATTTTATTATGATTGACTGAGTCACGTTTGAGGCATTTATAAAACACTCTATAAACACACAAATGTGACCACATTACAATTTTAGTATTACTGTGCCAATTAGTCACCTGTTGTCATATGGGACACAAAGCTAAAGAGGGCAACCACCAATTAACTGCTGTACCATTTATCATCCCCCAGGACGAGAGAAGTATGAGTCAGAAGTACAATGAATGCTCAAAAAACACGAAGATGCCGAAAAGAAACAAACAGAACCTACAGGGATTTATGCTCGAGCAGCCAGGGAAACCACTGTCATGTCATGTTGATGGAGAAATTACTGTCGTTGCCGGCAAATCCACCAGCCTTTTATCTCCACCCAAAGCAGACAAACTACACAATGATCTATGGTAAGTTAACAGTGCCACTTAAGCTACCTTGCATGTAAAACACAGCTTCTTGTGGCTTAATGCTTAATTATATTTCACAAACTGCAGCATGCCTCCTTCTTTGGTTTGGTGTTTCAAACATAAATTACATTATTGTAGGTTATATTCAGGAACAAAGGTCAGGCCTGTTTAATTTCCTGTTTCTATGTACCTTTACAGGTGTATCTGACCTCGTTTTCACAACCCTCCCTCAGAAAACCCTTGACTGCTCCCTCACCTCTCATTACAGGAACCAGAGGAGGGACGATGAAGCTATGAAGTCTTATCAAGACGTTGCCCCTGCGCTAAGTCTCACTTCCTTGGTTCTTTGCCAAGAAACCTCCATTTGACCTTGTGCTCAACTCCTTTTCAATAAGAGAAGCACACAGCAGAAGGCTGTCCCTCCTGTCTCCTAAAGGTGTTCTCCAAAACTCTTATTTCACGAAACATTTCTACTAGGGCTGATCTGAATGCTTTGCAGCTTCAATTGTTACCATGGAAATTGACGTCTAAATTAGTATTCGAATGCTTTGATTTGTTTTTGGAGGACATTGAAAGGAGGTAACCAGTGCCTGACACGAATTAAGCAAGTGTCTTCAGCTCAGGCATTGACCCCCACTTCAGGCAAAGATGGCTGTCCAGTGAGGAAAAGGAACAGGTGAGACGTATTGCAGATGGTTATCCACAGCTGGTGAATGTAGTATAGCACTTGCTTTGCATCTAGTGATGCAGCCTCACCAGTGGTGTTTGAGTTATTAATAACTTAGAGAACCATTGCGTGCAATAGTCCACCTTCCACCCCCCTCTCTCTTTAGAACTGAATAGACTCAAAGACCAATTAGAGGATTGGCAAAACTGATTTCTAACATGTAAGAGAGTTGAATGACAATATCAGCCTACCAGCATCTCCAACTAGCTTATTAACAGGTTACATCTTGTTTGTGTAATTTGTGCACAAACAGAAATGCAAAACGACTATTTCAGCCAGAGCCACTTTAGTCAAAGACAAGTTTATTTCCATTTGTAACTCGATATTTGGCAGTATGGCTCTGTTCTGGGACCTCTCTGTCCTTCCATGTGCCTACGTGGAAAGCCGAAGGCAGAGAGAGGACACCTCTCTGCCCTCCATGAGCATGCGAGGAAAGCCTAAGGCAGAGAGAGCAAACCACCCTGCCCTTCCATGCGCCTACATGGTAGCCTAAGGCGGAGAGAGCAGCAGCAAAGACCCTCTGGGTACAGAACAGAGCCAGCAACAATGTCAATGTCAGAAATGACATTGATAAGTCAGGTACAGCATAGAAAAAGGAAGAGCTGGGGTAGAAGTGGGCTGCAAAGAGGCTTGCAGAGGAAGCAGCAACTGTAGGCAGGCTAAAGCAGTTTAAATAGGGCGCCCTGAATGAGATTAGCCAATCATGTGATCCATCAGCTGACTCCCCTCTATCAATCAGCTGATGGAGCTGGGATGTGAGCTGAGCTTGATACCATGGCCTTCCTGAACTAATGCTATGCTCAAGTCCAGTCAGGACCACTTTAGTCAAAGAAAACTTCTTTTCCATTTACAATTTAATATTTGGTGGTATGGCTCAGCTCTAGGACCTCCCTGCCCTTCCACTGGGAGTTACATGCTGGAACACTGACTTGGCCAGGTTCACTGGGTACAGGAATCTTGACACTGTGAGATTTCTAGATAACCAGCAGAAATTTGTGGTAGGTGGATTTTTTTTTAACCTTGGATAGAGCCAGGCCAGCTGTTCTCACATGCTTCCAGTATGCTAAGGTAAGCTAATCACTTGCTCGCTAAAGTATTCCTTTAAATCATGGTAATAACTTTTTTTTTAACTAAAGAATGAAAATCTTTCAGAACAAACATTATTTATGGACCAAAACTGATGTATTACTTAAAAAATGAACTGTACCTTTACAGTCAGGGTAACACTGTCACCGATAGCTTCTCTGTCAATGTTTGACAACACAGATATGATGCCATCAGTTGGAGAGATTGTAAACAAGCCCTCTGCTGTGGAATCTGTCAAACAATGTGGAAAAATCAAAAACATGTTTCACTCATTCAGTGACAAACACAAATAGTTTTCACTGAGTTGATGAAGCTCACCTTCAATGGTATAGATGATATCATCATTGACTTCTAAGTCCTGGTCTATGGCAGTCACTGTAAACACAGACAGGCCCTGGCGAAGAAAAAAAGTCTCTTCATTTACAAACAACTTAAAAGCAGGTGTACTGCCTGTGGATTTGTATCACACAATGATTTGCAGCAGTTTTGTCCAACAAAATGACCAAACTTATTCATTTAAGCCTGGGCTCACACAGGGACACATAGCTACATGTACATGAGAATTAAAAGCAGACGTCAAGCAAAGAAATGTGAAAATGTGTCATAACTGAATGCTGGAATGCACTGGATGACATATAGTAGATGGTAAAACCTTAATTTCCTCTTCATTTGCTCTTTAAAAATTAAAATCAGTCCAGTTAAGCACGTTTTTTCCAATGCAGCACTCTGAATAAAATAAATCAGCACTCACCGGTCGAGAATTCTCTTCAACTCTCCCGATGTAGGGAATACCAATGAACAGTGGGTCAAGGTCTGGCACATCCACAACCGTAATGATGGAAAAAACAGTGCTTGAGTGGAATTTGGTGTCAGTAAAATAACACTGGCCTCCACCATCCTGTTACGGGACACACAGGGATGTTGAAATTAGGAAAAAAAAAGTAGAAGTAGGTTATAGTAAGGCCTAAGTAATAGAGATTTTCTGCTTGTACTAGAAATATTTTACATAATTATAGACTAGTAAAGTGAAATTTCAAAATAAAAAAAGACATGTAGTAATATAACCACTGAGTATAGACAGAATGAATAATGACATCAAAGTTGTTGTTTTTTTTGGCCTGTTCAAGTACCTTTACTAAACTGATTTGTATGTGTGCAAAATTTGTCACTGGAGAGGTGTTTTCACATGGGATGATGAGTGATGTCCGTGTACTCCCCTAAAATCTGAGATTCAAATTTAGACCAGGCAAACTTGCAGACTTGTCAAATCAGATTTTGCGTTGGCGTCGTAAAAGTTTTGACAGCGAATATGGTGTTTAGTTTTTTTATTTTTTATTTAAACTGTAATGACTGTAACATCATAGCAGATGATGCTAGTCACCAACTTTGGTGCACGACAGACTCCTCAGCTGAGTCCAGGTCTGACTGAGGCTCAAACATGTATCTCTCCTATCGCTAGTCTCACATAGCCAGACCTGTCTCCACACTTTGTTTTAGCGCTGTGCCAGCAATGGACAAAGAAAAAGCGAAACCCACTGCAAGTAGCAGTGGTGGGCGACGTGGATCCAGACATTCTCAATGAGGGACAAAGAGTAGATCTGCCTCCAGCCCCTTTTCAGAGTTTATTAACCATAGCAGAGTATTCTGACATACTTTGAAACGTGCCTGGAGGGGGACTTTGAATGAACCGTCCCGTATCAAGGACTATTCTGACATTTTGGGAAACATGCTAAAGAAGATCGACACCAGTCTCATATTTGCAAGACACAAGACGTGTATTTCCTTGCTTCGTTACTGCGTAGTACTTACAGTTGCGTTAATCTTCAGCCGATAGAAAGTGCTCAGCGCAGTAAAATTCAGACGTCCACTTAATCTGACTTCCCCAGTTGTGGCTGAGATGCTGAAAAGACTGAAGCCATCATTTGGAGTGACCTAGAAAATACAGTGTAAATTATACTTCAGTAAAGTTAAAGGAAGATCACATTATGACACTAATCAATTACATGATTTACAGAGGAAGCTTACTTCATCAATGCTGTATTTAACAACACCAGCACTTGAAGTGTCTGCATCTGTTGCCTGCACCCTAAACAGAGATGTACCTACTGTGGCATTCTGATGAATTGGATGGAGATAAAAACAGACAGAATAAAAAACACACACAAATGTCTCTCAGCATTAATAACAGTGTAAGAAAATTTGACATCATGATGGATTGGCAGCAGATGCTGGTGTAGAGAAGTCGATAAACAAATAGGTTAAAATTATTCTTAACATATTTATGTTGGACTTACTTCTTGGACCGAAGCATCATATGCCGCTTGCAGGAAAATGGGTTTGCTGTCGTTGGTATCGTTTAATATTATATTTAAGGTTCTGCTTATCTGAAAGACAGTGCATGGTGTACTCTTTTAATATGACTAACAAACTGATATTGAATGAATTACATTTGGAGAATGTAGGAGAATGGAGTGAAAATGAAATAAAATGTCTACATGTATTTTATGACATCTGGAGAGACATAATGAAAAAATATCAAAAGGCACACAGAAAAGCAAGAGCATCTTTGTTTTATAATTTAATTTTAGCAAATCACTGCAACCCCAGAATTTTATTCTAGGTAATAGACTCGGTCAGTACCTCCAGACATTATTTTACTGATACCTCACAAGAGATGTGTGAGACGTTTTTAAACTTTTTAAAAAATAAAGTCAAGTGAATAAGGCAACAAACTTCCCATTGCATTACTACTATGATGCACTTTTTTTACTGGCCTCCCAAAAAACACCACTGAGAGACTTCAGCTCATTCAAAAAAACTCTGCAACTCGACTGTTAACCAGAACCAAGAGGAGAGAGCACATCAGGCTAGTCTTGGCTGCTCTGCACTGACTTACTGTTACATTTAGAATTGATTTTAAGGTCCTCCTCCTTGTAAACAAAGCCTTACATGGGCTAGGACTGAGCTACATTGCTAACACCCTTATCAACTATTTGCCTCCAAGAACACTGTGATCATCTGCTGCTGGTTTATTGGAGGTGCCCAGCAACTAAGCGTCTAAAGGTGATCATGCTTTTCCCATCAGTGCTCCTCCACTGTGGAACGATCTGCCAGAGGAGATAAGGCTCGCAGAATCAGTGGCTTATTTTAAAACCCATCTTTATAGACCCTTTTTTATGTGATGTCATCTTTATATTTTTTTAAATTTTATTTTACTATTATCCTCACTCTGCCCTAGTTTTGGTGTGACTGCCTGGCTTTCTGTTGTTAGAGTTTCTGCCTTCCATGCATATGCGAGGAAAGCCTAAGGCACAGAGAGCAAACCTCCCTGCCCTTCCATGTGCCTACACGGAAGCAGCAAAGACCCCCTGGGTACAGAACAGATCCAGCAACAGTGTCAATGTCAGAAATGACGTTGATAAGTCAGATATAGCATATGAAAGGAAGAGCTGGAGTGGAAGCGGGCTGCAAAGAGGCTTGCAGAGGAAGCAGCAACAGTAGGCAGGCTAAAGCAGTTTAGCCTGCCTACGCAGTTTAACCTGCCTACGCCCTATTTAAACTGCTAAAGCAGTTTAAATAGGGCGCCCTGAATGAGATTGGCCAATCATTTTAATTTTATTTCTTTTTATTTTATTTTATTTCATTTTTTAATACATTTGGATTACTCAACACTAAATAAAATGCCACTTACACTATTGAGACCATCAGAGACAGTAACTCCAAGCGGCATTACATTAGAGGCCTAGAATAAAAAAAATTGAAAACATATTGATAAATTGGAAAAACACATACAGAATCAAGATGAAACTTTTAAATACTAAAGGCTCTACTTCCAAGGCACCATACCTCTCTGTCTAGTTCCCTTTTGACTGACACATCTCCAGTGGCACTGTTTACTGCGAAATATGCGGCATTGGGCTCAGTGAGTGCATAAGTCAGCCGGTCGTTGTCTGCATCTGTTGCGTTTATACTAAACGCATAGGCACCTGTGACAACAACATCAGATGAACATATATAAACATGGGCAGTATTTGTTTGAATATAAAGTCACAAAAATGAAACAAAAACAGTTTCACACACACAGACTGTATATACCTATGGGGGTGTCTTCACACACATGGTGAACCAAACCGTTGATTGTAGGACTGGTATTTGCTGTAGAAAACACACAGTGTAAGCTGAATGTTAAGTGTTAATGTAAAGACATAATTACAAAATGACCATAAAAGTAACTGTATACTCACCATTAGTTAAGCTAATAAGGCACAACAGGAACATACTTCCTGTGATCCCCCTCATGTCTGCAAATGAAAAGAAGGAACAATCTGATCAGTAGAGCTGATAAAACTAGTCAATTACCAGAAGATAAGTTGTCAACTATTTTACTAGCCATGACAATATAATAAGAGTAATATCAGTCTACTGCCATGCTAGTACTTCTGTGAAGTTGCACAGTGTTGCTTTGAGTTAAATCCTAACATCTGCATGCTAAAATCATGTTAAGCAGGAATCGAGTGCCTCAGGAATGAGACCTACTGTAAAACCCACACATGAGTTAAAATTCTACCACTCATGGTTCCCTAATCTCAAAGTAAATCGTTTTTGTGTTTTTGGTTAAATGCCTGAAATAAGGTCTGCTGTTAATTCAAGCTTAAAAGACAAAAATCCATCAGTAAAAACCCCACTCATTAATGTTAAAGTTTCTATGTGCCTTAAAAGAGGCGGTTGCTAACGAGTGGCTAAATAAGACTACTGAACATTGTCGCGCCGAGCCGCACCCAACACAGCTTTACAGTCTTGTTATCATGTGTTGAAATTAAGTCATGTGACCATAGTGTCATTTGTTTACAGCCTAACATTAGCATTTTACTCCTGCTGATTGCTTTTAGGCTTTAATAGTCATGGAAAATGGAGTTCATTAGTGAAGATTAGCTTGCTGAACAAACATGTAGGTATCATCAACATTTGTTTGTCACAGATCTTATTTTCAGCAATAATCCAAAATCCAATGGAAAAATCCCAGAGGCTTTTTGACGATTGAAGCAGGCCGATAGTAACTTCTGCGTCAGCCTACAGAAAAACATCATCCCTGAAGCACTCTAGAATATTTACCATGTTCACGGCCAAGACTTCATCTTCTATGTGCTAGTGTTTGTTTACAGTGAGACTAAAAACCAACATTTCGGCTTATCTCTACTAACAGATTCTGTTTATGAATCAGGTGATAAAAAGCTAAATAGTCGCCACAGCAGACAACTGATGGACTCTAAGATTACTTTTCGGCCCTTGTGTTCCGCCTATTTTGCTTGCCTCACAAATTGTCTACCTGCATATAACCAAAGCGCACTCAATTGTGATTGGACTTCTGTGACTACAAACAAAAACCAGAAATACCAAAATGTTGTCCCACTGCCTTCAGATTCTGCGCATATATACAGATATCTGTGAACTGAAATAGGCCTGAAGTTGTGGGTCAGCCCACTGACCAACATGCCGACATCATGTCTCGCTCAACTCGGGTTCCAACTTCTTAAAACTTTGTTTTTTGACTTCTGGTTGGACAAAACAATTTGAAGGCATTTTTTAATATTATCTGCTTCTTATAGACTAAATGCAACAATCAATAATGCAAAAAATTGTAACTCGCAGCCCTACCAATAAGACAAAAAAAGATGACTGAGATGTTTTTAATAAAATTCTGACATTTCATTCATTCATTCATTTCATCTGTCTCACTTATCGAGACAACTTGTGGTAAAAGATATTGACATTAAACATTTTATTCCTCATTTAACATAAGTAACATGTATGACCTAACTACGTGCACTCAAAAGGGCAGAAAACAGCTCTTGCCCTGATTTCTGTGGGTTGAAATTTAACAGCATATTGCACACAGCTGCACCCAAATTAGCAATATCACGGCAGGTGTTTCCATCACCCACTGTGACATCACTGAGGGGAGTGTCATAAACATGTTGAAAGTTTCATTACTGAGAAAGCAGAACAGCATCAGCTTTCTGCCCTGTGTGATTTCCTCTTTGATTTTGATGACATTGGAGGATATACTGCCTGCTCTGGTGAAATGATATCAAACTAGAAAATAAGTTTACACCTTATTTTCCAATGTAAGCAAGAACTTGTACAGTAGAATATTTAAAACATTTGAGTAAAACAGACCAGACAGACCAACAACACGTAGGACATTTTACAGTATGCCTCTCGGCTGGATTTAAAATTGATAATTCAGTTTGTAAATCTTAAATTAATTAAGGAATTATCACCTTTTGGTATTGAGAGAAGCCAGAGTTTGTGTTAATGAATCTTTGTATGAATGATTAAGGCTCCCTTAATCTCTTTTATCATTTTGCCACCAGTTCCACAGTTTCTTTTGGTAGGTTTGGATGTTCTGAGTGACAACCAATTTATAATAAATATGAGAATAAACTGGCTTTAATGCTGAAACGTCAGAGGATGGATGGCTCCACGCTTCTGAGAATTGTTCAATTTTAAAATGTATCTATCAAAAGATAAGCATGGGCTATAAATGTCCCCTTCAGTTTTACAGTACAAGATATTTTACTGTGTCGGATTACAGAAAGCAGCAGAGTTTCCAATCTATTCATGATCAGCACTTTTAAATACACATACAGTATATTTGACAAACCATTCATCATCCTATATGGTTACTAAAAGTGTTGCACTAACTCTTCAAAAAGCTAAATCTAAAGTAAAATGTAGCAGTCAGACTTACCGGACGACATTCAAAGAGGAGCTTCTCCTTTACTGATGTCAAGATGAGACCTTTGCCTCTTGTTCCTCCTGGAAATTATCGTCTTGTAGTTGTAAATATAAATGATTAACAGGAACAAGAAACGCACAGCCAATAACACGGCACTAAACCTCCTCCCTGAGTGTGTTTGTTAAAAAAACATACAAAAGCGTTGCACTGAGGAGAAATAGTTGAAAATATCCACCTGTTGTTTGCTCTCAGACATGGCAACATTATGGCTGTTTAATTACGGCTGGGTAGTAATGAGAGACAGGACCAGGCAAACTCCTCGGCCCATCATTGGCTGGCCAGCCCTGTCACCAGTAACACATGGCATCCTGCCATACTGGGTCACCAGCGTCCATCCATACCAGAGTCGTTGAGCTCTTTTGTTTGAAGGGGGTGCTTCTGTTGTCATGGTAACAACAACAGTCTCTTTGCCTCCATTGAGCAAAACCCACTTTTCTCAAACATCCCATCAGAACCAATCAGTGGTCCGATGCCTTTTTCAGAGAGCACAGATCCATGTACCTCCCTAATGAGCCCCCCTCCCTTTCAGCCTGCCCTCCTAATTAAAAGCCATCACACAAAGGATCATCTTCTCTTCTACCCACTGGATTCATTCATAATCAGACATTTGCCTCAGAACAAAAGCATGGATCCACACCTCTTTACTCTGAGAGAAAACATTTAACAGTGTATTGTTTTCCGTTTTGGGTGTTTAAAATGGGGTCTTTAGAATAGAGGTACATGGAAACACACTTGGACTCCTGAATAATGAACAAAAATGTTGTGTACATTCCAAACAAAACAGGTATTTACTCCAGAAAGTTCTTTGGATTTTGAAAGCATTTGTTTAATTTCATTCATTATATTTTTTCTGTTATCAAACAGATGTAAGAAGAATATAGCCTTAACTTGCTACTTATTGTAAAATGGTCAGCAGTTTTACTCCCTGCACTGGAGAGAGAGAACTGCCTTTTTAATGGGGATACACATGGTTTTAATAAGGTAAGATAAAATTTATTGTCCCAAGCGGGAAATTTGTTTCGGGTACATAGTGCAACAGAGCTGCATCGCAGATACAACCATCATATACAAACAAGACACACAGTAGACAACCATGTAGTACAGCAAGAACACAGATTTGAATAACAAGATTGTACAATTAGGACTTCTGGGTGAAATAAATACATCAACTCTGTCGTGACAGATAAGGCTAAAAGAATAAAAGCTCCTTAAGGTTGCACTAACCCAGGAGATAATAATTAAAAGTGCAATGAAAACTGTAGTATAGATAGTGCAAATAAAAGTGAGGGGGGAGTCAGGGGTCCAAGCATGCTAGCAGTCAGTCGCAATCCTAGACTGTGGGGTGCCCCGGGCAAAGAAGCCCATCAAGGCCCGAACTGACAGTATCCAGCTGTCATACAGTGGCTGCACTCAGGGGCTTTTGGAGGCAGTGGCGATCGATCTATATGTTATACAGATAAATAAATGTATTGTTATCATTAAAAAAACCCCACACTCTTGTTTTGAGGAGCAGAAAGGCAATGGCGTAATTCCTGGTCAAAAAATAGTGTGAAGAAGCACCATGTGTGAGAGGTGACGCTGAACATGGCAAAGGTGAGGAGCTAATATTAAGCAGGTGAGCAAATAAAACCTGCTGTATCAGGCTCAGTCTTTTTTAAAATCTTCTAGAGTGAAGATACTGGTATCATATGACACTAGATGAAATATGCTCCAAAGTGAGGCTGAGTTTTTATTTTTATTTCTGTTTTATTAAGACAGAGGGGCCTACAACACTGGATTTGGAGATGGTTGTTAGAAAGTCCGTTTTTGTCACCACAAGGCTTATGGCCAGAGCTTATTTGAAATGGAGATAAAGGTGGGTGGGAGGTGGTGGTGCTGGAGTGGGTGTCCATAATTCCATTCAAAAATAATGATTTTAACTTTGGGGTTTGCCTGATGAAGGTCTAGTTACCAAAACGTTGCAGCATTAAAATCACGTGTGCGGGAGTTATGTGTTCTGCTCATCCCTGCACGTCTCCTATGCACCTGATTGGAAATAGAGGTGCTCAGTTTTCCTTTGCTCATAATTCCTAACGAGGGTCAAGGGACAATTCATCTTGAGGGTGCGTGTGCCAATATCTTGAGCACAGCTACAAACAGGAGTATGATGCTAATTTGTTGAGTTGACCTATAATGTGTAGAAAGTCAGGAAAAGTATCAAAGTGGATCAGACTGGTGGATAATCATCTTTCCTTAGTACCTCAGTAGAGGTAAGTGTGTCTGGTGATCATTACTCACTTAGCTGAACAAAAATGTGACTTATAAAGTGACACAGGTAAATCTTAATAAACCACAGGCATAGTGTCATTGTCATACTCATAAGGAAGATCAGTCTGGATATTGCTGCTCATCCCAGCAACATGTTCCTACAATCTACTCCAATTAGACTTTGGTTTATGATTTACAGTATTCATCACAACACTGCCACTCCTGACCCGCAGTAAAGATATATAAAAAGGTGGGAACATAACCACAGCAATTCCAGTAAACAGTAACACAAGATTAAAAAAAATCTACCTTAAATAAGGCTCAGTCGGGGTGTTGTCTTGTCCACATAGACAAGATGATAAAATGAGGCCTGATAAGAAATGACGCACACTGGATCATAAATTAAGGAATTTTGTAATGAGAGTTACAGAAGAGTGTAATTAACATGCAATGAATGATAAAAACAGTGAACTTGTCCCAGTGTATAAGCATGTTGGAGGGTGTGTCTGATATTATTTATACCCTCCCTTCTTCCTCTTTCTGTATATTTCATTACCTTCCATTTTGGGTTTGGGATAAGTTGGAGTTCCTCTATTTTTAACACTTTGTTGTCTGCATACTTTTCTTCAAAGAGACATTATTTTTTGTTTTCCTGGTGGAGGAAATATATCAGGCTGCTGAAGCATTGTCAATTTTTCTGCATTATCCACTTCCTCAGGATTGAGGGCGTTTGTCTCTCTGGATTCTTGGGAAATAAGTCTGCTTCAATTTACATCCTGTTTGTTTTTACTAGATTGTGTTTATACCAAAATGTGATAACTGATCACAAAAATGCAAATAAATCAAAAATTAAGGACACTGCATCAACAACATGGGTTAAAATGAGATATGTTAAAGGTCCAGTGCGTAGGATTTAGAGGGGTAAATAAGCAAAAATGGTATATGATATTCATAACTATGTTTTCATCAGTGTATAATCACCTGAAACTAACAATCGTTGTATTTTTGTTACCTTATAATGAGACGTTTATATCTACAAACAGAGCAGGTCCACGATGTTGTTCTCTACAGTAGCCCAGAATGGACAAACCAAACACTAGCTTTAGATAGTGTCATGACCCTGTTTTTTGTTTTAATATCATGTTATCTTGTGGTCGTGGTCAGGATGCCATTTCGCCATTACAATTTTACATAGCATATAATAATAATAATAATAATAATAATAATGATAATAATAAACTTAATTTGTATAGGAAGTGTTTTATGAGACAAATAAAATAGTATACGCTATCAAGATAAAAACAGCAATTAAAACATTGAACATAAGCTAAGACCAGATAAATCAGAGTCTATGATTAAAATAAATAAATAATAAAATAAAGTAAAAGTATGTTTTGAGGAGTGTTTTAAATGAAGACACTGAGTTTGCACAGGCAAGGAGCTCCACAGCTGTGGGGCTGTGACAGAAAATGGCCGCTTTATTTATGTATTGAGGTGGGCTGTAGGAACAGTTAGGAGGGTCCCACCTGAGAAGAGCAGGCAGCTGCTACAATACATGTTGGAGCAATACCATGTAGAGTTTTAAGAGTAAAAATAATAATAAAAGTTTAAAATAATTCCCATACTTAAGGTAGCCAGTGTAGCATTGCAAGGGTGGAATTTATATGGTCTTGTCTCTTGGGATTAGTTAAAAGTCTGGCAGCTGAGTCATAGCTGTTTTCTGCTATAACAATGCTCTGAATATTGTATACAGCTCCTTTAGGATTCCACACACAAAACATTCTGGATTGTGAGTTAAGCTTCTCAATAAAGTAGGTAAACCTGGTTTTACCTACAACATTACAAGGCTGATTATATCAAACATTATTATAATAAGCCAATAATAAAGTATACAATGATGTTACACTCAGGAAGGGACCATTCTACATAAAGAGTACTTTTATTTTTTTAAACTTAAAGTAGGCTAGATGTTGCTGGTAATAGTTTCTGTATTTTTCTGAGTTAAAATCTGTCATGCATGACCTTTATTTAACCCTTTATATTTAAGCAAACTGGCTTGGTTTGTTTCAAACACGTGAAGAAGGCAATGAGTAACAAAAGAAGAAATGACTAAAAAAAATTAGCAAGAAATCGGTAAAAAGAGAAAATTAAAAACAGTAAAATTGGTTTGAAAAAAAAAGAAAACCTGGACCTGGAAAACAATCTTAAAAACTATACAATATATAATAGGCTAATGCTAATTATAACTATAGCTTTTCTCTAGCTTTTTAAAAATAATTTTACCAATTCATTTTTTTTTGCAATTTATGGAACATTTCTTACCTCATTGCATTTTCCCCATGTTTTAGAAGAAGAAGCTGCATAAGCAGTATTTTACACTGGTATTTTTACTACTTGTACCTTTTTCCCTCTGTTTTGTTTTTTTCCTCTCAGAATACTAATGACCGCTTTTCACAGGCGACCCTGAACTTTCCAGTCAGCCTGACACACTTTTTTCTGTCCATTACGGTAAAAATGGCAGCATGGCTTGTGCTTTCTGCACTGGAAATACGCAGAAATGGGGGTGTAACGGGGAACTGCAGAAACTCTAAGCAGCCGTGGGGCTGGCTTATCATTTTCAAAACCAAAAAGTGGCGACTACGGAAGTGATTTCGGGGCTTGCAAAGCCATAAACCCGCATTACACGCACACAGAGTGCGGGGATAATACGAGACTCTGATGTTAAGCACCTTTTTTACAGCAGTGGTGAAATCCACGGAATGTTCCACACGGGAACAGCTGACCGTAGGATGCCGCACTTAGCCTAACGAGATGTGAACATAACAAGGGAAATATCACTGATCA